ATGACACCACTTTGTTTTTGAATGATGCCTCTCAAATCCCTTTAGCTTTAAGATTGATTGATTCCTTTTCCAGAGCTTCGGGTCTGTATCTAAATATTAACATTTGTTAATATCAATTAATCAATTATTATCAATTATCAAATATCAAGTTAATATCAATAAAAAGCTGTAATGTTCCCTCTATATGCAATATCCCTGTGAAAGATCAAGTTACATACTTAGGAATTGTAATTAATAAAGACCAAAAAACAAGATGTAAACTGAATTTCGATCCTCTAATAACGAAGACCCAAAGGAAACTGAACTCTTGGCTGCAGAGAGACTTGTCTATACGAGGAAGAGTTCTGCTCTCTAAAGCTGAGGGACTGTCCAGACTAACGTATGCCGCTCTCTCGCTGGATGTTGATAAAGGAACATTAAAAAAGGTTGATAGCATGTTAAATAATTTTGTTTGGAAAAATAAAACCCACTTCGTTAGAAAATCAGTACTGATGAATTCTTTAAAAAAGGGGGGGATTGGATTTTTTTAGATTTTACTACCTTAAACAACACTTTTAAAATTAATTGGCTTAAAAATTTCCTCAATAATTCCTCTTCACTTTGGAATATTATCCCCAATTATATTTTTTCAAAAGTAGGTGGCCTGAAATTTCTCTTACTTTGTAACTATAATGTCACAAAGATCCCTGTCAAACTCTCTAACTTTCATAAGCAGATGCTCTTGGCATGGGCCTAATATACAAACACAACTTTTCCCCACACAGATATTACTTATGGAACAATAAGGATATTCTCTACAAGAATAAATCACTTTTTTTTGACAACTGGTTCAAAAACGACTTTCTTTTAGTTGGGCAGCTTTTTATTTCACAGGGCAGACTTTACAACTATTTAGATTTTTTACAGAAATATAACATCCCTATAACTGCTAATGAATATGCTATTGTTTTCAATGCAATTCCCTCTGGAGTGTCTTCTCTGTTGCAAGCTTCTACATTTCCATGGCCATGTACTTACTCTCTGAACCCAACTGACACAATGATCGGAAATGTGTGCTTTTCTTTAGAGCAACAAAAAAATAATTATAAAATCAGATCTCTCTTCCAGAAAGAGATAATAACAATTCCTTATGTAATACCATACTGGAATAATATTGTTGAGAATTTACCTTGGGAAAAAGTATGGTCTTTGTCTCATAAGTATCTGCTTACCAATAAAGTTAAAGAAATAACTTTTAAATTAATTCACAAATGTTACCCAACCAAAGCGTTTCTTGGGAGATATAAGTCCGACATTGAAGTGGACTGCTGTTTCTGTCTCTCTCCTGAGGAAGACGTCATTCACTTGTTTTGGCAATGTCCCCACACAGAGAAATTTTGGTCAGATTTGTTAATTTTTATCCAAACCTATTTTGTAAGTGACTTTTCTTTCTGTTTTAAAGATGTTTTCTTTGGTTTGTTTGACTACTCAAAAGAGAAAACAGGACAATATTACATAATTAATTTGTGTTTCCTTCTAGCTAAATTTCACATACATAAGCAAAAATTTACTGGATCTAAACCTCTCTTTTCTCTATTCAAAGATGATCTAGACAGATACATGGAAACTATCCAAAGCTCTGTTAATCCCAAAGCAATGAAAACTCTATCTCTATATTCATCCTTTATGTCCTCTTAAGGTGAATGCACTGCATTCTTGTTTTTATGTTACCCTGGCAGCTTATTTGTGTCTGTGTATATTGTTGTCATTTTTGTTTTATTTTTTCCATGTTTGTATGTATTGCTTTAATGGTTTGTAATGTTTAATAAAAAAAATAATAAATAAAATAAAATAAAAGACTTCATCAAACAAGTTGGCAGATCTGTCTAAATCGGTTCGCGAATCAGTTTGAATGATCTGTTCAGTTTTCTGCACGCACTGAATCACTTAAGCGCTTTCAATTCACACTCGACTCGGAGTTGTAACAGGAAGATTTAAAGTAACAACAGGTCGTTTTTTGCTCTCGGGCTCCCCCTACAGTTGGGAAACAGTATTGTCCTCTACTACTGTCGTAAACTCTGTCATCCTACATGCACGTGCAATTGTTGACAACCAGGATAGCCCTGAACACTGTAGGAGGAGGTCACATGCAGGTGTTCTGCTTGCGTCGCGTGTGAAATGTCTTCATCCCAGGTACAGTGGCATATATTTCAGCATGTCATATGAATATAATTTCATGAGTTTTATTTTTTTTCTAACGACAAATGATCGCGATGCTCACGTTTACAAGCCAGCGTCATTATAGTAGCCTAGTCTATTGGTTACCGTTTTACTGGATCTATATGATACTTCAATGCAATGTTTGAGTGGTTGATAATAACCATATATCGTCAATATTATAATATCAAGCTACCATAAATGAATCTGCAAATTTTACAAATCGATTTGCATTATAGCTTGAGGCAAGACAAATAAACAAATATCACAGACATGTTAGGTATCCTAAAATATGATTTTATTAATAATCTTCCTCCTTTCTTTGTACATGTTGAGTAGACTACACTTTTTAGGTCAAACATTTGCTATTTGCATTTCATCGATTGCAAAGTTCAAATCAGAACGAGAATACTAGCGATAGCTAACCATCAAAAACTAGAATATCGTTTACTAGCTACCAGATTGATAATTCGCTACTACTCTAGCGAATTAGAGAGGTTAGAGAGAGGCATTCTTTTTTCGATGGGGCGTTCGATGCTCCCTGCACACGCAAGGTCTCTCGCTCGCTTTCTCTCTCTGCCGTCCGCGCGCGTTGGAGCACAGTCTCTGTCTCGCGTGCGCGCTCGCTCTAGATTCCGGGAGATTTGAACTAATTTGCGGTATAACTTGTCGATCACGAGTGGCTCAACAGGTAGATCTATAGATAAACTCATCTTTCAGGGATTTGACCGACCGGGTTGACAATTTAGCTTGAGAAACCGGGGGTGTGGCGTACGTGTGAGCGTGTGAAACCAATCAAATGCGGGTGTCTCACGGCCAATGCGTGAGTTGGCAGCTCTGCAATGTTGATCCTCGTTCTGCCTTTAACGCGATCACTTTCTCTTTTTCTCTTTTTGCTTTGCTCCGATAAAACCTTTGCTTTCTTGTTTTTCTGTGCTGCTTCGCCCATGACTATAACATTTGGCTCGCAAGTCCGATTTTAAGGAAGTGGGGGTGGTGGTGGAAGTGACGTATATGCCGTAAAGCAGTCGAATTTTGTAGTTCTCTTTGTTCGCCGGTTACTACCCGAAACCCGAAGTTTAAAAGTACGATTAAAAACGCTACAGACCCCGTCAGGCTATGGCAGACGTGTCATTCAACCTATTGTAAGTCGATGTACCATCACAAGAGACTTGGAAATATATTATGAAGGTTGAAAAGTTACCTGTTGTTACTTTAAGAACATCAAGAGCGTTGGATGAAGTGGCCATGGACCTACAGTACAGTCTAGTGAAAGCAAATCGGCAAATCTATCATATTGTTTGCCAGCGATGAAGATCTTTATTAGTTGAACATCTTCGTATGCTGTCTGTGAATGAATGATTCCACAGGACGATACATTCGATTTCATTTCATTCAGGTAATACATTTTACAACCAAACAGATTATTACGCCACGATAGCACGATCCATCTGCTGTCAAGACGCTGATCTTGACCATGGTGTTGACAAGAGACAGGAATATGATTGCAGACATCACGAACAATGTTTCCATGTGCAGTTTGTTAACGTTAGACGTCGTCTTTTTGTCTGGTACTAATTAAGTTCACAAGCTAAACACTAAGTTATCATTAGCTAGTTCATGCTTACAGCTGTTAGCTAACAATGACTGTACCTAACGTTAGTTGTGTGCTGGATCGACCAGCTTAGTTTACATGCATCTTTCACTGTATTTTACTGAACTCAGCACAGAGCCAACCAACCCCGTGACGTCACCAGTTATAATACTGCACAATGGCGGCGCCCTTGCCGCTCGAAAGATATAACGGTGTTTCTTTTTTCTTTTATATGTTAACATTTGTCATGTTTCTTATATAATTTTTGATTATAGTGGTAATCCATCTAGTAAATTATGTAAACTTGACTGACTGCTTCATTTCCCCTTTAACAGGTTAATAGATATGGATATATATGTGTATTTGTTTTGTGAGTTATTTTTTTGGTGTGTGCATGGTTTGTCATGAAAATGTCTTGTTAAAAAAAATCAAGGACCACAATGGAAATAAGTTAATGCAACTTTATTGTGTTATCCTTGACAAAGAAGTTGTAACAATGTTGTATTGCTACTTTTTATGTCAAATAAACTCAACTCTATATATAGCTAATCGTTGGAAAAAGTAGCTTTTTTCTGGAATATATATATTTTGTTTTGAAAGCAGAGCTCCTCTAAAAGCTACTTAAAGGCGTCTTTGAAGCGGTAAAGACACACAACCTTACAGCTCGATTTAATATCCTTATCATCATTTAATTTTGTATAAATTGTTTATCCACAGATCACAAGTTGTTCTTACAGTGGAATAAATAATCAGTCTAAAAATTAGACAAACTGAACGAATGAATTTTATGAACTAATTTTCAGCATGAATCAGCGACAGTGCCACACGTTGCATTCATAAAAATACCTGCTGTCGCGACTCTTGTAAAGGGTATTATTAAAAATACATATAACGCAATATGTTTTTATTTTGCGCCGGTATACTCAGCTTTCCAAATTATATATAGGCTACACTACATATATTATTATTTTGCAGTTTGGTTTTATTTACAGACCAGATATATGCAGATCTATTCAGATATGGAAATCACAGGCTGGGTTAATCTCAAACCATTAAATTCATCACAAAAGAGCTGAATGGACAACATGTAACATAAAACAATTCTCCATGTAACTTGTGATTCTATGCTTCGAATAGAAGTTGTGTCGGAGAGACCACAATTCCATAGTGCACCTTAAAAAAACATCTGTAACAAAGAAAGTCCTCCTACCTGCTCCAAGTAGTGCAGGGAGAGGTTAATATATTTAGCTTCTTTTAGGATTTGACCTCCCACACCTGTCTTTCCCACTCTTTCAGACCCAGCCAGGTCCACCAGGTGGAGCTTCGAACACAGTACCGTGGCTGAGCCCAGCTCTTTGCTGCACAGGTGAATGGTAAAGATGCAGTGAGACCGTGTAGAAGCTTCGTTCATGGGAGTCTACAAAAAGATGGAAAAAGTGCAAGGAGTCTTTATCTTTATCCTCAGATGTTGTTGATGACAGGTATAAATCACAGGCACACCTGAGAAAACTCAAGATGACTTACAGAATTAAATTATCCTCCCAAAGAAACTTGTGTGATTAGTGTCTGTTAAGCATATGGTGACTTTTGAGTAGTTTATTTTTCTGAAGCTTAAAATAACACACTGTGATAGAGAGAGAGTGAAACATGGAATAAGTCATCAGGGTATACTGATATAAGAAAAAGATGAGTATGTGAGCTAAAGCGCTTAAAGAAGATTAAAGGAAATAGTGCTAAACACCGTGGTAAAACGAGCACACTCGGGCCCTAAAGAGAGCAGCCAGAAAAATGGCTGTGTAGTGTAGCTGGAAAAAAATAGAAGTTTTTCGCATTTCGTGGAGAGAGAGAGCACGATTGCGTACAGAAAGGCCTTAAAAACTGCTAGATCTGCTTATTTTTCAACACTTTTAGAATAAAACAAACACAACCCTAGGGATTTATTCGAAACAGTGGCTAAATTAACGAAAAATAAGGCTCCAACACCAGACGTTTCCAAACAGCACAGCAGAAATGACTTTATGAACTTGTTTACTTACAAGATTGATAATATTAGAGAGAAAATTATAACTATGCAACCGTCTACTACAGTATCGCATCAGACAGTGGATTGTAGTCTCCCTGAGGAAAAAGTTCATTCATTCATTGCTATAGGAGAGGAAGAATTGTCTAAACTCGTTAAATCATCTAAATCAACAACATGTATTTAGACCCTACACCAACTAAGCTATTGAAAGAGATGCTTCCAGAGGTCATATATCCTCTTCTTGATATCATTAATTCATCTTTGTCACTAGGATATGTACTGAAAACTTTTAAGCTGGCTATTATTAAACCTCTTATCAAAAAAACGCAACTTGATCCTAGAGAATTAGTCAATTACAGGCCGATTTCGAATCTACCTTTTGTGTCAAAATTAATAGAAAAGGCAGTATCCTCACAACTGTGTTCCTTTTTAGAAAAAATGGTATCTGCGAGGATTTCCAGTCAGGATTTAGACCGTACTATAGTACTGAGACAGATCATTAGAGTCACAAATGATTTGCTCTTATCATCCGATCGTGGTTGTATCTCTCTATTAGTGTTACTGGATCTTAGTGCTGCATTTGATACCATCGATCAGAAAATTCTTTTGAATAGACTCGAAAATTATGTTGGTATTAGTGGAATTGCACTAGCATGGTTGAAATCATCTGACCGTTATCAGTTTGTAGCAGTAAATGAAGAGATGTCATTTCGATTAAAAGTTCAGTATGGAGTACCACAAGGCTCAGTACTAGGACCGTTGCTGTTCACCCTGTACATGCTACCCTTGGGAGATATCATTAGGAAGCATGGAATTAGTTTTCACTGTTATGCTGATGATACTCAGCTCTATATATCTTCGCCCCGACGAAACGCCTCAATTCACAAAATAAACGGAAAGCATAGCTGATATAAAAATTTGAATGACTAGAAATTTCCCACTACTTAATTCTGAAAAACAGAGTTTCTAATTATTGGGCAAAAAACCTCTGCACGTATTAACCCAGAATACTGTCTAACAATTGATGGCTGCTCTGTCAAGTCTTCGTCATCGGTTAGGAACCTGGGTGTGCTCTTTGATACCAATCTTTCATTTGAAAGCCACGTTTCTAGTATCTGTAAAACCACATTTTTCCATCTTAAAAATATATCTAAATTACGACATTTGCTTTCAATGAAAAATGCGGAACAGTTAGTTAATGCGTTCATGACCTCAAGGCTAGATTATTGTAATGCTCTACTGGGTGGTTAACCTGCACGCTTAATAAACAAAGAACACAGCAGCTAGAGTTCTCACTAGAACCAGAAAGTATGACCATATTAGCCCCGTTCTGTCAACACTGCATTGGCTCCCTATTAAACATTGTATAAATTTCTATTATTCAAATCAGTTAAATGATTATTAGGCTGCATAAATTAGGTCAGCCGGAACCGGGGACACTTCCTATAACACCTGATGTACTCATTATATCATAAGAAGAATGGCATCCACGCTAATGTTAGTCTTTCTGCTTATTCAGAAGTTTACTGAAGTCAGTCGGATCCAGGCTGTATCCAGATCAGATGGTGGACCTGCGCCTGGACCCATCCATAACACATCCCTTAAGTGCCAGCCTCATCAGCCCTGTGAAGGCCTCATCGACACGACAGCCATCGGCACTGATCCTCAACAAACTCGTCTCCATACCGGCGTGATGACTCTGACTTCCAACCAGATGGAACATGATAAATATTCTGAATGTTCTAATCCAATATAACTTCTGACCTGAAATGCTGCCTGAATCATAATCATACACTGTTCGCTCATTGGGCAGAGGAGAACTGGTCCCCGACTGAGCCTGGGTTCTCCCAAGGTTTTTTTCTCCATTCTGTCACCTGATGGAGTTTTGGTTCCTTGCCACTGTTGCCTTGGCTTTTGGCTTTCTTAGTTGGGGACATTTAATATTCAACAATATTAATGATCTGCCTTACTTAAGGTGGACAATGACGCAATTTTCTTCTAGAAACAAACTTTTTTGTATTATTTTCATGTTATCACTGTGAAGCTGCTTTGATACAATCTGTATTGTAAAAAGCGCTATACAAATAAAGGTGACTTGACTTGACTTAAAGACCTCAATCTCTTACACTAGGAAAATGTTACAGTACATATTATAATGCTGTCAAGCTTACAGGCTTTCCAAACTGCTCATCTCACACTTCAGGCCAGCACCCTACACTCTGAGACCATTCCTTTGCTGGTGCTAGGCAGAGTTACCGGCTCAGACCTCATCCTCGGCCATTCCTGGCTCATTAAACATTCTCCTGTGCTGTCCTGGTCTACAATGAGATCTGTGCCTGGGGAAATCAATGCTTCCATAGCTGTCTACAGTTCGCTCAACACCTTCCTCCCTCTCAGCTGGTGACGAGCTCTCTCCAACCTTCACCTCAGAACCACTACCATTGAGAGTCCTTTTATTAAGTAATCCATCTCCATTCCACAATAGTACCGCTAGCTCCACAATGTGTTTAGCCCCAAGTGCGTCTCTCAACTTCCTCCTCATGGCCCTTGTGACTGAACCATCAGGTGCTTCCTTGTCAGATGGGAGAGTTTATCCCTTGTCCTCACCTGAACATTGAGCGATGAAAGAGTATATCAGTGAGACATTAAAGCAAGGCTATATTTATCCATTCAAGTCACCTGCTGTATCTAGCTTCTTCATTGTGTCCAAGAAGGCAGGTGGCCCTGCATTGATTACCAAGCCCTTAACAACATCACATTTAAGTTCATGTTCCAACTTTCTAATGTCCCATCAACTCTGGAGAACTTGCGAGGGGCAACAGTTTTTTCAAAGCTGGATCTACTGGATTTACACCTCCTAAGCTATTTTTCTTATACCTTCTACTCCTGAAAGCTTTCGTCTGCGAAGGCCAAATATGAAATTGGTAACTGGGAGCTGTTGTCCATGAAGCTGACACTGAAGTAGTGGTGGCACTGGCTTGAGGGTTTCTGTTTTTTCCTGCTGTGTACCTCTAGAATACCTACCACTGTTTGCTGGAATACTTACCTTCATCATCATCATCATCATCATCATCATCATCATCATCATCATCAATCTTAAGTGTATTCTCTCTCTTATCTACTGCCACCATCTACTGTCATTATCTCTGCCTGCCATATTTATACCTGTTCTGTTGTTTCTCATCTGCCTTCTGTATTCAATATACCACCTGCATCTAAGTTCTGCTATATATTATTTGTTATTTAGTGATACCTACTACACTGATACTTGATTTTTTTTTTTTTTATTGTTAAATACAATCAATGACAAGACCAGCAAGGTGACAGGCCAAATTCACCATTGTATGGAACTGATGCATTTGTATGTTAAAGGCACATTATGCAGAAATTGTGTTTTAGTCAAACAGTGACCCCTATAGTCGCTGTGGAACACTTACACTGTCGTAAATAGCTATCTAGACATATGTGGACATTTTTGGACTGGTCTAATTATCAACAATGGATGAATGAACAGCATCGTAAAAAATGGCATACTACAAGCAAGCGCAACAACATAGAATGCAATCAAGTTTAGAAATAAGAGATTTAGGCTACTTAATCCATCAACAAGATCGCCAGGTCAGCATCGCGGTTGAATCCAGTGCTGCTTTTTAGCTCGCGCCAACTAGTGAAAGCCCGACCGAGTGGGACTGTCACAAGGAAATAGTCAAAGGATTCAGTTGCGAGTAAACAGTAATTTATTGAGCACAATAGTAGATATCCGTGTGGGTCAAAATGGAAGCAGACAGAAGAAGACTCAGGCTCGGCAATGCAGGGACACAGTGGGCAGACACAGATGCAGGAACAGGTAGAAATTCCTCCGGGAAAATCTCAGGAAACCACTGCATGGTACAGGAGTGGAATGCAGGAGAACACGGCGAGTAGAACCCTGGTAGCCTCAACAACCAACTGACAAAGACAGGACGAGGTAACAAACAATATATCGGACATCCTCATTCAAAACAGCTGGCGCTGATCAGCTCATCAGCCGCGCCCGCCCTCGCGCTCACTCACACAACACGCACACACATAGCGAGGGCGAATCAGGGACTCTTTTCCGGTTCCTCACGCGGTCAGATTCTCTTTTCCTTTTCCAAGTCTCTTCCGACCGCGTTTTCTTTGCTTTTTCCATCGTCAAGTATCACGTCTGAAATGCGCGCAAGTGTCTTCGTGCTTCATATGTGGTTGTTGATGTGTGTGACATCGTTGCCGTAAAGCAAGTCGTGATTCTCGCGAGATTTGTCGGGGGCGCTCCTCTCAAACTTGCATTGCTGGTTTTTCCAGCGGCGACCCCGCCCAGCTTTATTACCAGGATGATTCGTCCTACTATGAGTTTGTTTACCACCGAAATGACTTTGAAGCTGTTATATCAAGGTACAATTCTTGCATAGTGTGCCTTTAATTTTATGTTAGCACAAAAAACTGTTAACGGTGTTAACATTGCAGTTTATTTTACACATCTAATATTTCTCTCACTAGATAAAGTATTTTTTAACTTTACTGGTTTTAAATATAGAACACCTTTTTCATGGAAAGTTCCAAATGTTATGCAACCGTTTAAAGGCAATTAACAATATATCACATCGAAGGAGCAAATAATAGTTACAAAATATATATCTGTCTGCAATATAAACACATTCCTGTAAACAACAGATGTATATTTTAAATAATTCATATTGAATTGGTCAGACTCCAGAGAATAGTTTTAAAGAACAATGCCAATCCCAAGGTTAAGGTATTTTGGGAAAAGCAAGGCCTCAGGACTCATAGAAAAATAAAATATGATGGTACAATTATTGTCCATGGTCAAAGAGTAGGATGCTGTCAGGAATCAAGCCTCTGCGGTTCCTCCTGCTACCCATCAGATGGCTCCCTCACCTGAGCTTTCTCCCTCAAACTCCATTTCCCATAACCCCGAATCTGGTACTGATTGCTTGCACACCTGATCCTCATTATTTATTCAGCTTTTTCTCATGCATTCTTTGCAAAGTCTTGTCCTGCTCTGCTGACAATTCTGAGCGTCCTCCTAGTTATCTGTTTGTTTTGTGTTTGACCCTGGACTGTTTTTACTGTTTCGACTCTTCGCTGCCTGCCCTTGTAATTTTGCCTCTTTTGCTTGAATATACTCTGTATTGTTTGCTGCCTGCCCTGACCTGACCCTGTGCCTGCCTCCTGTGTTGCCTTGGATATATCTGTTGCTGATGATTGACCCTTGACTCTTTGTACCACTATTGCTTCTTTTAATAAAACCACACATGCATCCCAACTCTGCTGACTCATCGTTACAGATACCAATAGAGAGCGGAATACAATTTTACATTCAAACTGATGTCCTCAAGTTATATTCATGCACAGTTCAGTCGTGGAAATGAATGACACCAGCAAAACCTTTCGCATGATGACTAGTTTTTTAAATTTTTTATTGTAACTTTATTGCTCTTTTTTTTTTTTACTTTAGAGTACAGGAGTAATTAGGCATTTTTGTTGTTGTTGTTTTGCTTTTTTTCTTGTTATCTGAGATCCCAGCCCATGTTTTTTATGTATGTTATATAAGTGATGAGAACAGCCGCGCTCAACTCCCAAAACGTTTATGGGTGCGAGTTATAAAGAAGTTTATCAAATAAAGATGAAAAACCACACTCTCTAGTTATATCTCATATCTTTTTTATTATTACCATGTCCACATAGACGCGTTTCAGCCTAAGCCATCATGGATATAACTAGAGTGCGGTTTTTCATCTTTATTTGTTATATAAGTGATGTCAAAAATATTCTGTGATTAATATTTTCTGTTTAATGTCTTAAAATATTTAGTGCAAGTAACGCAGTTACAACATATGATTATTACACTATTTGTGCTCCGCTCACCAAGCTCCGTGAGAGAGCAGCCGACCAAGAATGTCCTTTACACCCTGTACACAGCGGACTTCAGGTATAACACAAGCAGCTGTCACATGCAGAAGTTCTCTGATGATACTGCCATTGTTGGGAGGGTATCAGAGGAGAATGACCAGGAGTACCGGGAGGTCATCGGGGATTTTGTCAACTGGTGTGAGTTAAACCATCTTCACATCAACGCCAGCAAGACAAAGGAGATGGTGGTTGACTTTCGCCGGAGGCGGCCGGGTACTACACCGGTGAACATCCAGGGTGTCGATATTGAGAGGGTGGAGACTTACAAATACCTGGGTGTTCACCTTAACAAGAAACTTGACTGGTCCACAAACACAGACGTCCTGTACAAAAAGGGCCAAAGCCATCTCCATTTGCTGAGGAGGCTGAGTTCCTTCGGAGTGTGCAGGTCTCTGTTAAAAACTTTTTATGACTTGGTGGTGGCGTCTGCAATCTTTTATGCAGTGGCCTGCTGGGGAGCAGGGAGCTCAGAAAGGGATAGGAAAAGACTCAACAAACTAGTGATGAAGGCTAGCTCTGTTCTGGTTTGCCCTCTGGACACCATAGAGGAGGTGGGGGAGAGGAGGATGTTAGCCAGGCTGGCATCTATTATGGGCAACACCACTCACCCCCTACATGAGACTGTGAGCTCCCTGAGCAGCTCCTTCAGTGGCAGACTGCTGCACCCGCAGTGCAAGAAGGAGCGCTTCCGTAGGTCCTTCATCCCAGTAGCAGTTAGACTTTTTACTGCAACATCACAATGTAGGACTGTTAGCTGTTGTTGAACTAGCACTCTTAGCTGCGGCTGAGTAGCTGAGTAGCACTGGACAATATTTTGCATTATGTATATTTCTTATCTATTTATTACTTTGTGTCACCTCCAACTGTGCAATATGTCACCTCTATTTGTTAGCATATTTATTTGTATATTTGTGTTTATAGATTGTCTGTTTACATAAGGTTGGTTATTATGTAAATACAGTTCTATTCTTATATTTGTATTCTATTTTACTTTTATATTTTACTGGAGCTGCTGTAACACAGGAATTTCCCCAGTGTGGGATTAATAAAGTCAATCAAATCAAATCAAATCAAATACTATGATCAGCTAATCATTAATTCAAGTGAGCAATAAGGCAAAAAAGCAATCATTTCGATACTGGACTGTGAAGTGGCTCTGTGTGCACATACCCTGTGTGCGTTTACAAGACTGCTGTTATTATCCTACATAGGAAAAGCAATTTGGAGAATGGATGGATGGGTGGATTTCTGCTATTGGTTTGGAGATATCTAATAAGTAAAATCTGCCAAATGTAAACACATTTTGTACACACTTAGAATAATTGAATTTGTTGTCAATCCTAAACAGTGACTATATAGACGCTTTGGATAAAAGCGTCTGCTAAATGAATAAATGTAAATGTAATGTAAATGAACTGAACATGGCCAAAGAGTATGATGCCAATAGAGAGCTGAATCAACGATTACATACAAACTGATGTCCTCACCTCTGCAATCATACGATTCGTGTCTCCTAAAAAAAGCAAATCCAAAGCTTCCTCTTCATTGGCCGACTGTTGCAACGACAGGTTCTTGAGGTGAATGTTCTGGTCTGAGTCTTCCATTATTGTCACCCTCCTAAATCAATGACAAAACGTTAAGATGAGCAAACAGAGTATAATGCGAGTGTGGAAAGTAAGTATTCCTCAAATCATAAACCTCAGCCGTGTAGACTGCAGGGCCAGAGACATACTCAACACACTCGCATGCACAATTAATCCTTTAATCGGAGGACATATAATGTGAAAAATATGGCCTTTTTTTTTGGCATAATTGCTGTGGGTGGACAGGAAACACCTTTTTCTGCCATCCTTGCACTCATGATAACATTATTGGGTTTACTGTCTTTTACATGTTAATATAATAGAAGTTTTAAGCTCAACATCTGTGACATTCTGTCAACAATGCTTAAAACTTGTACTGAAGCTCGAACATTCATGAGAGTGTGGAGTGAGAACAGAGTGAGAGTGAGAACAGAACCAGAAGGAAGGGATGAGTTTAATAAACTAATAATTTAAAATAATTATTTCTTTCTTTTTTGTATAAGTGTCTGCGTTACAACAAAAACTAAGTCATCTGTTGTGACAAGAGCTCACATGAGGCTAAGTGATAAACTAAACAACATGAAAAAGTAAGCAACTCTATTGAAAAAAACACAACAAAAACAAGCACCCAAAGGGATTCAAGGTCTGTTAGTTTCTTAATCACTGAATACAAAAACAAAGCAGAGATGGATACCAAATCAATCAATATATTTGAACTTTTTCTTTTATTTTTGACACTAACATGAAATCAATAAAATATTGCTCAGTTAGCCGGTTGGACGTTTTAATTTATACTGTTAACATATTTTCTTTTGAACTGCACAGAAATAAAAATATGAACAAAGATATGGATGAATAAACATAGAGAGGTAACAGCAAAAAGAGAGAGAAAAAGTGAGAAGCAATAATGCTAGTATAACAGTGACAGTGGATTTAAACTGCCATTGTGTCTTTAAAGTTCAACTTGTGTGCTCAGAAGTGGGCATTGTCTATTTTCAAAGTAGTTTGACCCATATCACGATATATCAGATCTGATATAATGAAGAGTTAAGTTAATCTACAATTATGAGAATTGAAAATGAACAAGGGTCAAAAACAGAGACTGACGGTAAGTCCTCCAGACGAGATGCTTCATGTTGGGGATTCAGCAGATCATAGCCGGCCTCATTGTAGATTTCCAGGTAAGAAATGTGGGTTGTATAGACCATACTGCTGTCCTGCAAACAGATATACAACTATTTTAATAAGTACATCAAAACAGACCAATTATTAACTAAAAACTAAAATATTACTACCAGTTGGAATAACAGAATGCTTTGCATAAATATTTGCCAGCCTTCACCATCTAAATCCATGGTTCCAGCATGACATATGAAAATATCTACTGACCTTGCTGATATGATGATAAAGGTAAGAAAGAGTTCTGGGAATGATCCCTCTGTCATTATAATGCTCTGCACCTCCAGTGATTGTAAAGGTCTTCCCACTTCCGGTCTGGCCATAGGCAAAGATGGTGCCATTATAACCTGCCAGCACACTATCGAAAGATGCAAGGTTCTCATGACAGGTTTCTAAAAAAAGCTACAAAACTTAATAAAGCTGTGACATTCTCAGGAATCTATTGCTAACTGTGCTATTTGTGTGTTATGTGTCACTATGAATATGTGTAATACAAAAGAGCTCCTTAAATGGTTTTAAATTTGCATGTACCTATTCATCACAATTAGGCCTACATTTGAATCATTTTATGGAATATTTTTTTAATTAAAAAATCATGTTTTTCATGTTTCAGTTTTTTTTTTCTGTAATGCTTTGGCTCATAAAGCATTTTGCCATTTATGAAAAAAATTAACAGAAAATATTGTTGGCAGAGAACTAGAATAATGTTATACAATATTATTAGCTAGTTATTAGCTACAATATTATTAGCTAGTTAAGGACATTTTTGCACTGATTCTCAACACTGTAACATTTAAACCCCAAAACATTTTGCAAACGTCATGCTTTAATAATTTTCTTTTTAGATTGTGATAAATAAACAACAAAACAGAGTGATACTACCAAAAACAGAGTGATACTACCAGAGTTTACTACTTCCATTATTGTACTCCAACAATGTACACCTCTCGTACTTTGAGCTTAAAATGATGGGATCTGAATACTTTTCATGTTGTTTTCCATTTCCTTTGCCATAACAAATAACAAAAGTATGATATTTTTAATTATTTTATGACAAATTCAATCTATGTACAAAAACAGTAATTACATTGTTGCCCTGTAAATGCAATGAATTGGATGAATACCACACCCTGAGAAGAGTGGGCCTTAACTCCTAAAGGCAAAAGCAGCCTGGACACCTCATAGGCTAGAGAAATTGTGTCTGTGATCCAGTGCGATAAACATTGCTTACCAAAGTGTACCAATATTTGATTCGATTTATGCCACTGGCCTGAGGAGTTAACATAAATCCTTAGAGACTGGACAAAATAAATGAAGCCTTTATTTCTCGGATGATTGAAACGGCAGAGGGAAGTAGGCCTGAAGTGGCTGAGTGGTCGTAGAAGGGCCCTTCGGAATATAATCTGTTCTTCGGTGCAGAATTACTATGATTAGTCTAGGGGCAAAGTTTGCATGCTACCCTTGGGAGATATCATTAGGATGCATGACGTTAGTTTTCACTGTTACTCTGATGATTAATCATCTCTATATTTCTTCACTTCCTGTCAGGACATACCAATTTGCAAAATTTACAAACATATATCTAAATTTTGACATATGATCTCAATGACAAATACAGAAAAGTTAGTTCATGCGTTCATGACCCCAAGGCTAGATTATTGTAATGCTCTACTTGGTGGTTGCCCTGCACGCTAAAGGTGATGATACACAGGGCAACTTTTTGAGCAATGTTGCTGGGCAATGTTGCCGTCAACGGGCAACCAGATGAGACACAGGGCCCACGACCGATCCAAATTATCCAGATAGAAATGTATTGCCCATTTTCAATGGGAAAGTGCCCAAGCAACAATCGCTTGGCAAGATTGCCCAGCAACATTGCTCAAAAAGTTGCCCTGTGTATCATCACCTTTAGTACACAAATTCAAGTATGTCCAAAATTTAGTAGCTAGAGTTCTTTTCTAGAACCAGGAAGTATGACCATAGCCCGTTTCTGTCAACAATGCATTGGCGACCTATTAAACATTGCATACATTTTAAAATCTTGCAAATTACTTATAAAGCACTAAATGGTTTAGCTCCTCAGTATTTAAGGAAGCTCTTAACGAATTATAGTCACTGTGTGGTCCACATTCAGGCCAAACAACTATTAGACCTCAGAGTTCATTGTGGGGTGGGTTTTAACTTAAAATGGAGCTTAAAATGAAAGTTTATGTGCGACATCAGAGAGATTAGACCCTATGTTTACTGAGGGAAATGGAGGATGTTCTAACTTGAAATGATATCATGATTTTACAGTGCAGATGATGTCTAATTTAGAAAGTTCTAACTTTGTAGGTCTCATGGCTGAAGTATACCCGGGCCTCTAAATGATTTTATGTCAGTATCTTAAAATGTCCTCAAAAAGATAGTTGAATGCTCAAGCCACACATACAAGCTTTATTGTATAGATAACAACATATACAGGTCCTTCTCAAAAAATTAGCATATTGTGATAAAGTTCATTATTTTCCATAATGTAATGATAAAAATTAAACTTTCATATATTTTAGATTCATTGCACACCAACTGAAATATTTCAGGTCTTGTATTGTTTTAATACTGATGATTTTGGCATACAGCTCATGAAAACCCAAAATTCCCGTCTCAAAAAATTAGCATATTTCATCCGACCAATAAAATAAGTGTTTTTAATACAAAAAAAAAAAAGTCAACCTTCAAATAATTATGTTCAGTTATGCACTCAATAGTCAATACATGGTCGGGAATCCTTTTGCAGAAATGACTGCTTCAATGCGGCGTGGCATGGAGGCAATCAGCCTGTGGCACTGCTGAGGTGTTATGGAGGCCCAGGATGCTTCGATAGCGGCCTTAAGCTCATCCAGAGTGTTGGGTCTTGCGTCTCTCAACTTTCTCTTCACAATATCCCACAGATTCTCTATGGGGTTCAGGTCAGGAGAGTTGGCAGGCCAATTGAGCACAGTAATACCATGGTCAGTAAACCATTTACCAGTGGTTTTGGCACTGTGAGCAGGTGCCAGGTCGTGCTGAAAAATGAAATCTTCATCTCCATAAAGCTTTTCAGCAGATGGAAGCATGAAGTGCTCCAAAATCTCCTGATAGCTAGCTGCATTGACCCTGCCCTTGATAAAACACAGTGCACCAACACCAGCAGCTGACATGGCACCCCAGACCATCACTGACTGTGGGTACTTGACACTGGACACTTTGGCATTTCCTTCTCCCCAGTCTTCCTCCATACTCTGGCACCTTGATTTCCGAATGACATGCAAAACTGAGCAACAGTCCAGTGCTGCTTCTCTGTAGCCCAGGTCAGGCGCTTCTGCCGCTGTTTCTGGTTCAAAAGTGGCTTGACCTGGGGAACGCGGCACCTGTAGCCCATTTCCTGCACACGCCTGTGCACGGTGGCTCTGGATGTTTCTACTCCAGACTCAGTCCACTGCTTCCGCAGGTCCCCCAAGGTCTGGAATCGGTCCTTCTCCACAATCTTCCTCAGGGTCCGGTCACCTCTTCTCGTTGTGCAGCGTTTTTTGCCACACTTTTTCCTTCCCACAGACTTCCCACTGAGGTGCCTTGACACAGCACTCTGGGAACAGCCTATTTGTTCAGAAATTTCTTTCTGTCTTACCCTCTTGCTTGAGGGTGTCAATGATGGCCTTCTGGACAGCAGTCAGGTCGGCAGTCTTACCCATGATTGCGGTTTTGAGTAATGAAACAGGCTGGGAGTTTTTAAAAGCCTCAGGAATCTTTTGCAGGTGTTTAGAGTTTATTAGTTGATTAAGATGATTAGGTTAATAGCTTGTTTAGAGACCCTTTTCATGATATGCTAATTTTTTGAGACAGGAATTTTGGGTTTTCATGAGCTGTATGCCAAAATCATCAGTATTAAAACAATAAAAGACCTGAAATATTTCAGTTGGTGTGCAATGAATCTAAAATATATGAAAGTTTAATTTTTATCATTACATTATGGAAAATAATGAACTTTATCACAATATGCTAATTTTTTGAGAAGGACCTGTACATGTGTAAGTGATCCTTAATTTAGTCTCAATTTTACTAGATGTACATAGGTGTCCTAAAGATGTAGTTCAGTACATTAACTACTGCCATGTTTCATCACATTTGTGCCCAAAAACTTTTTTATAAATGTTCTAATAGTATACATACCTATTGTTTTCTCATTTAAAAAGAAACATCTTTGTGAATTGTTATGCTTTAAAAGTATGCTTCATCAACTTTTCAGAGAAGAAAAAAATGTCAACTCACTTATCAGCAACAGGCTTTGCAATGGTCTCAAAGATTTCCTCTTGATTAGCTGTTTGGTCAAAAACCTTCTGAAACCTAAAAAATGGAAAATGTGGTTGTGGAAATGGGTTGTTTAAAAATGAATAAATCCAAATTTAGCTTTTACTTAAAGTATGTTCACAGTAGGGGTGGGCGATATAGCCTCAAAATCATATCACAATATTTCAAGAATATTTGCGCTAGTGATATTTATGACAATTTATGACAATATTGATTTCAATCTTTGAATTCAATTGAAAAAAGTAGCTAACATTTATACAAAATAATAAAGATACAAATAAAGAGAAATAAAGAGAAGAGTTTTTGGGTAGGTCTAACACTAGTATTCAGAAATACTACAGCAACTGAATAAAGTAATCAAATGTAAAATAACACTGATAGTCTTTTAGTCGTGAGTCCTGACTAAATTAAATACATAGGCTATTCATTCTGATTCCTTACAATTAAAGCTATCTTTTGTTTTGTTGTTTTGACAACAACATTAATGACAGATATATGGCTTTCATATGTGTCACTTTTAGAGCTAGTGCATGGATCCATTACGGTTTTCATTTTACTGTCTGTCACACTGTCATGTGTTTTATGCTTATTTAAGACATAACCGACTGTGTTTACGAGTATACTAACCAAGATCGGAATTTTGACACAATTTTGCGTGTTTTTTTTTCCTGTTAAAGCGATATAATCCGTGAAAAATAACTTTTGTTACTCGCGAGCTGTTTGTGTGTTTGTATGTAGCTATGCACACAGAGAAAACCATCTCTCAGAGTACTGGATGTGGATGCGAGTACTGGATGGTTTAAAATCGCTTCAATGTTTAAACTGATAAGACTTAAAAAGACGTGAAAATGATAAACTTTAGTTACGATGCTCTGCTGGCCCAATTGTGCAAGTGACAATTCCGTCATGTCCCGACTCCTAAAAGCGAGAGTGTAGTATCGCCGCCTGTAGCGCTTGCCTTGTGCACCCCATTTTGAGAGAGAGAGAGAGAGAGAGAGAGAGAGAGAGAGAGAGAGAGAGAGAGAGAGAGAGAGAGAGAGAGAGAGAGAGAGAGAGAGAGAGAGAGAGAGAGAGAGAGAGAGAGAGAGAGAGAGAGAGAAGGATGCAGCACCGCTGAACACTCATGCGGTTTGTGAAATTGCGTCTCGGAGAAAGTTTTAAAATGTATAATCTGTGTGGATTAATTTAGGCTACTCATACAATCTACATGCTGAAGTGAATCAATGTTTGCGGGGGAATTTCCTGCATTATAAGTGGGAGACCTGCGGGAATTATTACAATGATGCGCAATACCCACAATCTTGCACTGAAAGCCTCAAGCCCTTTGCTCTGACCTCTTGGTAACCAAACCACTTCCATACTATTGAAGTAGCTCCCTTTTTAGGCACTAAATCGTCATCGGAGGCTGACATGCTGCTCTTACTCTCAAACAGGTGTTGTTGTTGTGCGCTAGCGAACGTAAATGCGCCATGCGTCATCTCGTCGCTATATCATTGATATCGCAATATGACACTTTTTTATCATGTAAAAATTTATACCGGTGTTATCGTGGGCGGTATGATATGGCACACCCCTAGTTCACAGATCATCTTGGTTACACATGTAACCCTCATTCCCTGAAGGAGGGAACGGAGATGCCACGTCGGACTGACCGACGAATAGGAATCTCGCTAGAGAGGCCAATCTACTTCGAGTGTAACTAAACGAGCCAATGAACATAGGCATGCGATAATTGCATCAGCTACTCCGCCTCGCAGCGCAGGTATATAATAAGCAGCAGTGCATCTCATCTTCAGGTTTTCGATGAGGAGCCAAGCCGGTGACCCGGCCACCCAGCGGTGGTACAGCAGTTGTGGCGGCGGGACGTGGCGTCTCTTTTCCCTCCTTCAGGGAACTAATAGGATAGGAATCTTACCAAAACGCCACAGCTGCTGTCCCCTTCCGGAGCCCTGCGTAAGCCTCCTGATCCCTCCTGTCGATGAGACAGGGCTTGCGCAGAGAATGTCAATCACTGCTGTTCCGCATGACCCACTCAGTGAGACTATTGGATAACACAGAGAAAGCGTGCCCTTTCCACTGGAAAAGGAAGCCACATCCTACCCAAAAGGAGTTATGTGGACTTTTACATATGGACTACATTTGGAATGTTTCAGGGACGGTTCCAGCCTCACAAAGGGGGGCTTCCCCAAGGGAAAGAAAGAGGCTTCCGTTTAGAAGTTTACTGTGGAAGAATACACATATGGGATCCCCTCGAGGTCACACATACGGGCACCCAGCCTAGTACCGGTTCTCATGGATGTAGGCCTGGCGCCATATGCTCCGCCACGTCCATCTGCCGCGGGTGATGGAGGACTCAACAGGGATTGCCCAGCGGGAATTTTCTGGAGAATAAGCAGGGGGGCTCTCTGTGTCTCTGACCACTTGAGGTGAGAACACAGGAAGATACCGGCTCGACACAAAGGCTATAGAATCTAGCGAACGTGCCCAGCCCGCAGCTCAACAAATATCTGTTAGCGATGCGCCATGCGCCAGTGTCCAGGAGGACAGCGATCTCCGCTCCCAAGACATGGGCATCGACAGCTTTCACTGAAGTGAACTGCATGCCTCTGAACTTGGGGGGACGCCGGGAGAACTGAATCACATAGCCGAGCCTGATGGTCTGAATGATCCAGCGAGACGGACTGGGGAGCGCTTGCCAGTAGGGCTGTGCGATTTTTCTGACACGATTTGATTTGCGATTTAATTTAGCAAAGTCAAGCTTCAGCTCAATATTCACAAATCAAAAGAATGTCAACCCGTACACACCTAGTTTCCTGATTTATTTTAGGCTATTTATCATACAGGCCTACTGGTAAAACAAGAAATTCTAACTCAAATTCCTAGTAATTCAATGAATCCAAAATTACTTTAATGTTTTTCTATTAAAACAACAGCAAAAAAGACTTATTGTCATATGGAGCTGCATAAGAACAGTTATTCAGCAATCACAATCAATAGACTATAGTTGAGATCCATGTTTGCATTTATTGCAGTTCATCACTGAGACGGTTTGATCGCAGATTTAGTCGCAGCAAACAGCGCAAGCAGCTCGTGACAGAACACAGACCGACTGAATGCCACTTTCATTTAAGCAGAAAATCTCAAATCTCAAATGGAGATACTTGTTACTTGTTTGTCAGTGTTCTCAGATCATCAGCGTTTCTTCAGCAGTGTAGAGCTTTCTCTACACTGCTGCGCGTGCGCATGGTTGCCAGATTGCAAAGATTAAGTAAAACTGAAAATGTGTAAAAATGGCAAATTGTTTTCATTAACAGAAAAGCTCTGATTTGGGGATTAAAATAGTTGAAATCTGGCAACCGCAAGCATGAATGCTCGTAGCGGCTTGTTAAAAACAGTCTGTAATTTTTTGTCGTCGTCTTTTTTCCCCTGACAAAAGAAATAGTGATTTTGGTCAAGTATTTTTTTTTTTTTTTTTACTACATTTAGTCTTGTCTTTTTTCGTCAGTGATATTGCATGTTTATTTAGTCACAGTTATTGTTTAATGAGGTCGATGTCACGTTGGTGTCATCTCGTCTTCGTCTCGTCTCGAAAAAGGTAGTCAACGAACATTTTTCGTCACATATACGAAATTAACACTACTTTCTATCCAATAGATGGTTAGCTTCTTTGGGGTAGAACGGAGGTGCGCTCACTCAGTTAGTTAGTAAGACTGCCACACAAAGAGGACAGTCATGCTTTTGCTCTGGGACATATTTTTCATATCGCATCCACATTGCAGCCTTTTGCGATTAGCTAATCGCAACGTTTCAAATCGCGATTGCAATTCGATTTCGATTAATCGTTCAGCCCTACTTGCCAGGCTCGCAGAGACCGAGCAAGTGGGACCACAGGTGTATTGCACCCCACAGTGGGTGCATGACTCATCCATGAAAGCCACCTCAGCATGTTTAGTGCCCAGACACGTGAGGCAACGATCGTGACCATCCACCGGCGCCAGGTAATGACCGCATCCAGAAACACACGTGTGGAAAGTCATCTTTAAAATGATGCGCTATCCCACCCGTGTAATGCTCGTTTAGGGAACTGCTCTCTCTTGGTGCAGAAGCACACAGGGGAAAATATTGCAGCAACACTGACAGGAAAGGGTGCAGCCTGTAGTGTGCACTCCTCTCGTTGAAGGCGCAGCGCTTACCAGCTGTAATAACAGCTTTTTTAGCGCTCTGAAAAATGGTAAGAGCTTCAACGAGAGGCCTTCAACGAGAGGTGCAGCTCTTACCAGCTGTAATAACAGCTTTTTTAGCGCTCTGAAAAATGGTAAATGGACTGCATTTTATATAGCGCTTTCACAGACCCAATGGCCACCAAAGCGCTTTACATTTTGCCTCACATTCACCCATTCACGGCGGTGTCAGCCATGCAAGGCGCCATCCAGCTCGTCGGGAGCAGCTGGGGTTAGGTGTCTTGCTCATGGACACCTCGACACTTGGTCAGGTGGAACCGGGGATTGAACCACCAACCTTCTGGTTTGTAGACAACCTACATGAACCACTGAGCCACTGCCGCCCCAGAAAAAGCACACCATCACCAGCTGTTAGAAAAGCCTTTTAGTGCTCACTGAAGGCACACACACACACACACACACACACACACACACACACACACACACACACACACACACACACACACACACACACACACACACACACACACAGAAAAACAGGGATTTTCACCGCTGAAGCGCCATCACACTGACACCGATAGAGAAAGCTTCTTCCTTGAAGAACTGACTCTTTAGAAAACACTGCTTGTAAATTCACATGTATTATCAATGTGCATTGGCTCGTTTAGTTACACTCGAAGTAGATTGGACTCTCTAGCGAGATTCCTATTCGTCGGTTAGACCGACGTGGCGTCGAACGTGACCGATTGAAAGGGAACTATATATGCCTAATCTGCTCTAAATCCATTTAACATGTTTAAAACATCAGTTTTATCCAGCAATTTCTTTCTTTCCTTTTATTTAAATAAAAGTTACTACATCCTTAAACAAGAGATGTCCCAAGAGAAATACGATAAGTTAATTAAAAAATTAAAAAGAAAGTTTCAGAGAGAGAAAAACTTTAATGTTTCTATCCTAGTGGGCACAGAGAATATGCCCTTCATGAGCAAAATTAAACTTTATTAAGATCATGATAGGTCATGTTTGTGAAATCAACACTATAATTCCATAAAATTAAATCTCTCATTTTTCTACACGTCACCTGAAATTGTAGTTTTCCCTCTTATTGTTGATAAAACCATCCGCCAAGTCTCTGGGAACAACAAACTCCAAACTACTGCCTTGCTCCTCACAGTCCACAAAGTACCCCTGCAAAGAGGAGGATTAAGCATGAGTTCACATAATCTAGACTTGCTGGTGCAGACATATTTTATGATTTATTTATTCTGCAAGCGTGACTTTATCACTAAGACAAAATTATATATTACAGATATGCTAATTATAATCATATTACAGACATGCTAAGATGATAAATTAATATATATATATATATACATATTACCCCCAACAGCCATAGCCTACAAAAGTAAATAAAAAACAATCTGGTTTCAATCACATTAATATTACGACTTAAGAACAGAGTAGCCTATAGCATGACCACAAACCCTCAATATCTAATTCTATAATAATAATTTGTAGGTGTAACACCGAGTGCTCTCAGAGATGAGTGAAGGCACGATCCATGTGCAGGAGAACTTTATTAAAATAATAACAATAACAACCAAAATAAACACGAGTAAAACCAGGGAGCAGAACTGAGAACATCAAAGAAACATCCAACAAAGGACAACACCAGACAAAGAACATGAGAAACATTGAATTATAAAAAGGGTGATCGGCAAACAAGACACACCTGGGAAAAAACAGGTACTAATCAACAAGAAAACTACAAAAGACTACAAAACATGGCACAAAACAGGAAATAACATAAGTCTTCCACACAAGACATTGGGTGCTTCTCAATACTCAAATTGATGCTTCCTCGTTACCTCGCTCCTCTGTCCTAGCCTGTGACCCGGAAACCAATTAAATTTAGCCATCTTGAAGAACATCTCAATTCTCCACTTACTGCACCACGAGGAGGCGAGAAACAAGGAATGAGGAAGCTTCCAGGGGAGCCATGAGAGAGGATGCATGGGTGTATGATATGCGGAAGTCTTTCTTGTCGAGAAACCTGACTCACAAATAAATTCTCCTCCCCTTCACATCTGTCACAATAATTTAAATTTATGCTTTACCTTTGCAGTTTAAATAAATCATATATATTACAAATCAACAGGGAATCTTGCTTTACTGTATCTTTATTATTAAATAACCAAACTTGAACAACATAAGGGCAGATCCTTTGAGTACAGCTTATGACGCTTTGAAGTGACGCTCGAGTGATCAAGAATATTCCAATATAAAAATAAGCTTTCCTTCAATTCCTCCATCCTCATTTTCTTTCCTTGCAGAAAGGAAAGGAGGATGCACAAATAAGAAATGAGAAGCACCCAAAGGGAACTACAGACAGGAATCATGACAGTAGGGGTGTAACAATATATCGTGTCACAATATATCGCAATACAAAAATGCAACAATATATGTACCCAGTGACGAAAAAAAAATCAAGTTGACTGAGTCATTACTACATTAAACTACTACTACTATATAATGTTGAATATAATAATGCAATGGGGGAATATTTTTGGGTCCTGATAATGTCAAATGTCTTGTTACCACAAGACAAGTAAAAAGTGGCCTAGGCTACATAATTTTAAATATATCTAGTCAGTGACACATTGCAAGCATATTCGTCTAAAATAATTCTGTATTTTCAGCTTCAGAATCCTGAATATTTTTATTCTGGTGTCACCATTGTCTTGTGCATTGGGTTACACTTACCAGCATCAAGTCCAAGCCCCATGTACACCCCCAATGTAATTTAGCATTTTAATCAACAGTACATTTTTTGTTAACCTTTTACCGTCTTAGAGAATCGCAATAATATTAGTGAGTTCAGTACTGTGATATGTATCGAACTGTGACATGAGTGTATCGTCGTTACACCCCTACAAATTTGTTTAAATCATCATCTCATCTTAACTGTTGGGGCATGTGCATTTTTTCTCTTATTAACTCTTAATAACTTGTGTAGGTGTGTATTCAGGTTGATTGGGACACTTTTTGCCATTGAGATGACTGGGATAAAGTGTCCCCAAATCAACAGGAATTCACCCCTATGTAAAATGTAAATAACACGGGCCATAAACAGACAGAAGTGCTATGTCAAATTGTTGCGTACATAGATCAGAGATCTTGAGGGTTTGTGCTCACATATGCTTTTGTTTTTAAGTAGCCGAATAATATCCAAGTGAATGAAACCAATTTCTTATTTATTTACTTCTGTAGGAAATGACTATATAATAATATAACTAATATTATTGGACTAATATGATTATTGCTGTACGTTTTACAAGAAAATATCCCATTTTAGTCTTTCTACTTCAAAGTTTCAAGTTAATTTAATGTGGACTTGCATTTTGTTTAAAATTATTTAAAAAACTGACTAGCAATTTCTGAGTGTAAATTGTTTTATAGTAAATCCTACACCACTTTATCAGTGTATACTTACAAGAAATGAGACGCTGCAGCACCAGCATTATAAAAGAAAACACGTGCGTTTAACTCTTATTAACCCTTTAGATAGACAACGTTAGGCCTATTGAGATCAAAATGTAAATAACACTAGGCTATATGCAGATAGAAGTGCTATAAGAATTGCACACTAGTTGATGCACATATGTTAGGATTACGGTATATGTGCAAAACCGACTAATGTTGTTACTGCTAGGTGTCCAATACAAAGTAACGTTAACGTTAAGTTATACAAACGCAAAATACTCACCGAGGTGGGTTTCTTTGTCGGTTTCACACGTGCAAAGATTTGAATAGTTTGCTTAACCATTGTTTTATATTATAATTATTAGTCTTTCATTATTATTGTTATTATTCATCCAAAGCACCCGTTTAGCTTCACACATTTAATTCACTCTTTTCTTTTTTATACTTCTCTGTGTACAGAGGTTGCTACGCGACCAGTGACGTGGCACGCTCTGCAGAACGTATGCATTGACGTCACCTGAGTTGCAAAACATCCTGCAAAATGAATGGATTATCCTCAAGATTTTCTAGCATGGAGTTTAATTTACAAACACAACTTTTCACCACACCAATACTTTATCTGGAATAATAAGGACATAAAAAAACAAAAAAACAAACAAAAAACTGTTTTCTTTGAAAATTGGTTTCGAAATAATATTGTTTTGGTAGACCATTTATTTAACCCAGATATGGTCTTCTTTTTACTTATAAGGAATCCATCATGTACAAAAATAATATTCCTATACCACCAAGGGAATTTGCAACTGTTTTTGGAGCAATTTCTTCTAAAATATTTAAACAGCAAAAAAGATTAGATTACCAGCAATTGCCACCCCTCTCACCAAATCACTCCCTTGGCGGTAAAACATGTTTCTCCTGTCATTATAATTATAAAAGATCAATAAGAGCCCTTTTCCTGAAGGTTGTTGTTTCGAGACCAAATGTTATTGCATATTGGAGTCAGTTTGTGAGTGATGTTGACTGGAAAAAAGTCTGGCTTCTACCCAATCGCTATCTCTCAATAAACAAGGTTAAAGACGCATCTTTTAAACTCCTTCACAGAATATACCCTGCTAAACATTATTTAACCAAGTTTAAAAAAATATATTGATGAAAGGTTTAGCTTTTGCAAGCAGAAGCCAGAGACAGCTGTTCATTTATTTTGGCACTGCCCTTATGTCTTTTTTTTGTGTGCAAAATGTGCTTGATTTCATTGTTGGAAATATTAGAAAGATGTTCTAGGTATTATTGTAAACTCCAAAGATAAACAACCCTGCACTTATTTTATAATTTTTATTATTTTGATGGCTAAATTTCACATTCATAAATGCAAATTTTCAGGTAAAAAAAAACACGTTTTATTGTATTTAAAAATGAAGTGAAGCATTATATTGAGTCAACATTGCCCTCGAAGAAACAAAAAGCTATTAGAATTTTACAAGCATGTAGCCTACACTCTTTAAAGTATTCCTATAATACTGTTTATAACCCCCTAGCATTTGAAATGTATTGTTTTGTATTTCTATTGTTTGTTTTGATATTTGAAAAAAAAAAAAAAAAGCAAAAAGTGAGTGCGCCGGAAGAACTGACGCTTTTGCATAGTTTGTGCTTGCTGTTTAATAATCATTTGAAACTTAGCAAACTGACAGCTCCAGTAATGCAAATTTATATCTTGAACTCTGTCATGGATAGCATGTATAAACCATAATTAAACAATGCAATAAATAGGCTATATATACCTACCTTGGATGCAGTGCAAGTTCATTTGTAAAGCATCTGCTACATGCAAATTAAAATATAATGGCTGCGCAAATACGTGTCATTTTGACAAATTTATTTTCAACCCAAAAATGCCAGTTTAAAAATGCTGTTGGTAGCCTATAAGAAACAATGTGTTGCCACTGTCATGTAGCCTTTTTAGTGTACAGTCAACACACGAAAAATGAAAGAGATATGTTTCAATAAAACAGTGACTGGTTTCAGTTCTTCAGTTCTTCAGTTCTTATAAAGCCCATGGCAATGTGAGCCTGAAAAAAAATTTCTCCTACATTTGCACATCATCCACCAGTAGATGTCAGTATTGGATGTGAATCTGAGGCGCTGCCAAAAGAGAAATCAATATCCAACTTATACTGTACTTTAAATAAATACTGAAGATTCATCAAGGATGTGCTGATATTCTGTGAAATGCATTAAATAAACAGATAAACGAAGCAAACTAATCACATGTTCTAGTAAACAATTCAATTCATTAGTTTTTATCTTCTGCCATAGCCTGTTGTTTACATTTGATTGACCATGTCATTTTGAAATTTGATATTAATATAGCCTACTGTTTAATAACACACAACACATATTTTTATACAGACCCCCCCCCCCCCCCCCTAGTTTAAAATTTCACATAAATTGGCTGTGAGTAGCCTAAACTTGACCTTTCCACCTGTTTCTTTTTTTGACAGATACTTTTTTTTGACATTATGATCATTTTAGGTTACATTTTACATGTGCTGTATGAATTAGAGAAAATATATTTTTAGATGTTGAAACTTGTCACCATTCGTTTGATTAAATGATTACAATGTTTAAAAAAATAAATAAAAAAAAGTCCCTTATGAAATATAAAGGACTGCGAGAATAATATAAGGAATAATAATAATACAAAAATCAGATCCTAAAAGCTTTTACATGCTGATAACATAAATGTATAAATATGTTTTAAATAAATAATTATATTATATAATTATATTATATAAACTCAGAAAAAAAAAAACGTGTAAACGTGTAAAACTTGACGTGTAAATATGTGTATGAACATAAAAAAATTCAACAACGAGACATAAACTGAACAGTTTCACAGACATTTGACGAACAGAAGTGGAATGAGTAAAAATCATAATAATAATATATTTTTCTAAATATCTAAATTTTAATTACTCATACTGAGTGCATTTAATGTATCACCTTTATAGTTTACTAAGCATTGCCTATACTCGTAATATGTTTTTTTTTTTTTTACAATAAATTGATGCGCTTGCATTACAAACTGAACTTTCATCTTTGCTGTTGAAACTTGATGCACCTGCACCTTCTCTCTCTCGACAGGTGGCGCTGTGTGTTTAGTAATTATAGAGTTAAAGGGGAGGAGCAGAGACGTTACACACATATACACACACACGCTCGCGCGCGTACCACAGGCCGTCGGTGCGCGCTGACTCTCCAAACAAGCGCTGAATAACCCAGCATCATCATCCCTCCTCATCATCATATTCCCATCAGCGTGTGCACGAGCTGCATCACTGACAGCAGCGCGAGGAATTCTGTGATACAATGAAACAAACGCGCGCAGATTCATCCTAAGGTAAGACAGCTGGAGTTCAGAACATCATTATATTGGCTTTACAAACTACCGCTACTGGAATTAACAAGCGATACATGAGTGCGATTTCTGCATGTGTGTGTTTCATGAAGAGAAACTAATGTAACGCCAGCAAAGGCTGCTTTATTTCCCTCTACAGTCCCTATAGAATCTAAATACAGTTGCTCTTTACGCTGCTTCTGCCCTCCTGAATTTAAGAAAAGAGTCAGTGGAGACGCCAGTTTTCACTTTTCTGAACAGTTACAGGTGTGGAACCATTGAAACTGCATTAATTGTTGCTATCAATATTTGATTCTGACTTGCTGTGTTTTTATGTTGATGCATGAGTTACTGCTGACAGTTATTGTCATCGTTTGCACATGGTGATATTAAGGTTTTAATGTGACTCTAAATGATTTATTTAAACAGTTTAGTCACTAGCTTTTTGATATATATCATTGAGTTGATGGATTTATGTTACAGTTTTTCTGAATTGCTAAAACACATTTCTCAAAACCATCACCAACTTTCTCAAAACCAAATATTCAAACATTCAGAGAACATCTGACTCTTCTAGCAAAAAACGAACGAAACCATTTTATATGTGCTCAAAATCAAACAAAACTTTCAGATCATACACACAGCGATTAAATGACACATTTGACACTACATCAAAAAATGGAGAATACAGAATCCAAAAACATGCAGTTACAGAAATAAAATATTGTGACAAATAAACTAATTTTGCAATTATGTCAAAAAAAGTATGGTAATCACAATTTACAATAGTAAGGTGAATAAGTTGGATACTGTATACTGTAGGTAATGGTATAGTATTGTACTGACTATTGAATAGGCCCATTGAATGTCTGTATATTCAGCACTTGCATACTGTGAAAATACAGTAACCAAACTGCAAAAGCCAAAATGGTTAAAAAAGGCTAAATGAAAAGCATGTTACAGTACACTCAAAAGAGTTGTGAAACTGAAAAATCAGGTCAATGAGAGATTCATTCTGCCTCAGCATCATGTCTTCATGTTGCGTCCAGCCTGAGGAGTTTGTCCACATCACAGACAATGTCATCTCTGCAGGCAAAGGGAAAAACCCTAAAGCCAGATCCAGCCTTGACAACATTCTCCACACCATCCTCTTCCTCCTCGTCCACCACTTCTAACTCATACTCTTCCTACTCTTCTCTCCCTCTTGTATTGTTTCCATCCACAGTTGGTATCAACAATCAGTGCAACATTCTGTCAATTTTGGCACTCTGAACTGACTTGTATTATTACAGTTGGTTTGACTACATCATTAGAAATAAGTGTGAACAGTTTTGAGTTGTTGTGTGTAAATTATGTCAACTGTGTTGTAGTAGTTGTGTTTAACTTTTATCTGCCTGTGTTTAGTGTTTTGAAACATAAGTGCATCACAGTGCAAAATGTGTTTTAGTGAGTGAGAATGTGTGCATGATATTTGCAAACAGTGTCTAACTGCCTGAACTTGTTAATAGTTTTACAGAAAGAGTGATTTATTCGACAAATTGGTTTAGGCTATTGAGAATTTGGTTCAGAGAATGGGATTTAGTGTTTTAGTAATTCATAAAAACTGTAATTGAGATTATGTGTTTGCATAATGCATTTTGTCTTATTTACTTGTCCAAGTTTTTTATTTGACTTCAAAAAGTACCTTACATGAGCAGGTAGATGTTTCACTGATATTATATGCACAGTTAATGATATAGATGTCCATGCTAAACATTATAGGCTATTATAGCCCCTATAAACCAAAGTGCATAATGTGTAAATAAAACTTTAAATGTCATGCAATATAATAACATTTCACCTTAAAGCAAACATTTAGATTTATTTCATCAGTGTGTTTAAGTCGTGATCTGTGTTGATTTGAGCAGGATGGAGTCTCACTTCACACACTTTCTGTTTCGAATTTGTTGTATTTGTGTAGATATACAAACCTCTGGTAAAATGACATCTGTTGATTCTGAGAGAGTCAATATTAAACATTTCGATCTGTTATTGGAAACTAAATGATGTTTTATTAACAAAGTTCGGGAGGAGCACGTTCAGATAATTAAACCTAATTAAACACACGTGGAGCACATTCAGATAATCAAACCTAATTAGACAAGAGTGGTGCTTAATCAACGAGTTAAGCGTTGTGTATATATACAGCAAACTAACCTCCGTTCATTGACAGTTTAACAGCATCCCTCCACCACCCCATCTCCTCACTTATAGTCCTAATACTCTTACAACAACGGGGGGAGTACTCTGGGTTCGGGCAAAATTCCGAGCTCGGAGCCCTCCCCCCGGACAGCACGCCAAATACGCATAATCTTTACTCTGTTTAATTGATGTAAGTGTGAACTCGTGAAATGTATAGGCAGTAGATGGTTGACTTCTTTCCTGATGTGTTTCTTGCTTGTCAAAGTCTTTAAATGATGAGTGACAGTTTGGGCTGTTTGGCATTGAATTGTAGATGCATGTAATGCAGTATCATCGATTTGATTCTTTAATAATTTAACAAATAGCCCTATACATTTTTCTTTTTACTTGTCAAAGTCTTTGATTGACGTCTTTAAATGATGAGTTTCAGGTTGGGTGGTTTGGCATTGAATTATAGATGCATGCGATGCATGTCAATCATTTTTGGTGTTTTTAAATGTGTTGATCAATGTTGATTTGAAGAAGATGGAGTCTCTCAGCATTTTTGTCAGTTAAATCAAGCTGCTTTCTTTCCTCGCAACCATTCGAGAAAATATTAATTGTGTGTAGCAGTGCTTATCTGATTCATTATGTGGAAATCTATTAGTTGATTTGTCCAGGTGATAAGCTCTGATTTACCTGGTTAGTTAATGTCTGTCAGGTGCTGTGATGAATTATTGATGCTGTAGACACACAGTTCAGTTCAGCAGTGAGTGTTTGACTGAGTTCAGATGGTGATTGACAGACCTGTGACCTTTGTGGTCGCCATCGTTCAGGTCAGTTTATGTCCTAGATCATTTAGACATAAAAGTAAAAAAAAAAAGACATTATGCTCCATTACTAATTGCCTCTTAATGAATTAAAAATTTGTTCATCTAACTCTGTCAATCATGTCGCTTAACTCCTGATATTTCGAGTCAAAAGTCCAATTACACAGATGAGTTTGGCTTTTATGACAAAACATTGGCAGCATAATGTATTCAAGAGCAAATGTACATATTCCACAATGAGCTTACTTATTTAGACGTTTGTAAAATCACACAGATGGTTAAAATTGCTGCCAGACCATCAGCTCTGTTGCGACTATACAGGAAGGCAGAAGAATGGAAAGAATTAAAAGGAGATCTGTCTTGGAAAGGACATTAATTGAGCATGTCTTCATGTTGGCACTGGTCTTTAGGTCTTAAGGCTTTAGTAAGTGTTGGAGATCTTCAGATCCAGCCCAGATTTCACACCGAAAACAGAAAAGAACTTCTGCACATGAATGAGCCACTTCACACTCATCTGAAGCAGTCTGTGTTTGAACTGAGTTTAGATGAGATGAGTGAATCTAACAAAACCATTTGAGAACATGTTTGTGATCTATTTTGATCGCTAAAGTGGTTAATATCTGAACTATAAACTTTTAGCCCAGTACTTCTGTGACAATATAAAATTATTGTAAAACAGAAATAACGATAGTGCTATGATCATCTAACCTATAGATCAGGGGTCTGTAACAGGCCAAAACTGGCCTGCCAGCAATAATATCTGGCCCACACCCCGCATTACTTTGATAGCGGCTGGTTCTGAAATAGATGACAGCAAGAGTTACCCACAATCACTTCGTCTTTAGTGATTTTCAAGTACGAGAACTTTTTTGCAGCAATGTTTTATTTTGAGATGAATTGAGAGCTTTTAATTTGAAAAGTTCTGAAAGACATTCAAAAGAGTCTGTGGATCGCTTCGTTGCAGATAAGACACACCAGCTTTGCATTCACAAAACTAGGTAGGATGAACGCATTGTCTTTCCATTCTTCTTTGTTCCTATTTTCGCTGTCAACTTTCCTCTTTAGACTCTTTGATAGTGCCATTTTCTCTCATCAGCTAGCTTAAATGTTAACATCCCTGCATACGATGTAATGGCGTACTGTACCTCCAGCACGATAACAATTACAAAAAAAATGCAGTTTTTTTTTAAACAGAAACTCAAATAAGCACTCGTTAAAACCGAGGTCTGCAGAAGAGGATCTCTGAACACGTCGAACCTTGAAGCAGATGGGGCTACAGCAGCAGAAGACACACCGGTGCCACTCCTGTCAGCTGAGAACAGCAATCCGAGGCTACAATTCACATGGGCTCACCAAAATTGGACATTAGAAGATTGGATCCATCCTGCCTTGTATCACCAATTCAGGCTGCTGGTGGTGGAATGGTGTTGGGGGTATTTACTGGCACACTTTGGGCCCCTTAGTTCCAATTGAGCAACGTTTAAATGCCACAGCCTACCTGAGTATTAATGGTGAGTATTGATGGCTACTTCCAGCAGGAAGTACCATGTCACAAAGCTCAAATCTTCTCAAACTGGTTTCTTGAACATGAACATGAGTTCACTATACTCAAATGGCCTCCACAGTCACCAGATCTCAATCCAATAGAGCACCTTTTGGATGTGGTGGGACGGGAGATTCGCTTCATGGATGTGCAGCCGACAAATCTGCAGCAACTGCGTGATGCTGTCATGTCAATATGGACCAAAATTTATGCCACAAAGAATTAAGGCAGTTATAATGGCATAAGTGGGTCCAACCTGGTACTAGCAAGGTGTATTACACCTTGCAAAATGTATTAAAGTATACATTGTATTAGTATTTGTTGTATATATTGCTAAAACTCTTCATATTTTATGTTTTTTTTTGTTTGTTTTTTTTGCTTTACAGTAATTGAAATTTGGGGCTTGATGTAGGGGTAATATAATTTTAAATGATTTGTCTTTTGTTTTGTGGTAAATTATAGCGCAAATGTTTCTTTCTGAGATTCACTTGAACATTGTTTCTTTCATGAATATTTCATGTGTTTATTCACTATTATTATTCTGTTTTAATAGAATTTGATGCTGCTTTTCTGCAAATGACTAGAGAGCTGATTTATTGTCGTAGAGGTCGTTAAAACAGGTTCATGGTGACGTGACTTTAAAAACCATGTTTAAGTGTCCCTGTGTTCTCTGAGAAACGCTCTCTAAAATCATCTGATAATTACTTATTTATGATAGACGTTTCTCATTTCTTTAACAGGTGCTGTGTGATTTAGAGGAGAAAGGGGCTCAACTTTCCTATATGATGTGCATCGACCAGAGACGTTGTTTGGTGAGTAGTTTTGAAATTCAGCAAGTTTCATCCTGTATCAGTGCTGAAGCAGATTTCGTGTTGAAGATTTCTATGATTATGAATCAAACAGAGGGAGTAGTTGACTTTATTTTCTGCGCAGAGGATGTCCACACAGCTTAAGTTGTATTAAACTGGAACATTCCTTTAATTAGTCATTTGTTGTTTTGTGCTCTTTATGAAGATGATGGATGTGTTTCTTTGAGGATGGATTGTGTGTGTGATGGTGTTGAGGCTGAGATCTCACACTGGAATCCCTGCTGTGTGACGATCTCAGAGGAGACAACTTAATTGGCGTATGTCAGGATGTATAGATGGAGCTTACAGAGAAAACTCAGATGTGTGTGGTGTGGAAAAACGTGAGAGCTGCACTTTCACCAGTGCATCGTAATCTGAAAATTAGTTAGTCGCTACTAAATGAGGAATTCTTATACAATATTAATGCATGTTTATCATGGTGTTCGTAATATTATATATTGTGGTACTGGTCTTGATATTGTAATTTTTGCTAAAGAATCAGTTGTTTATACATGAAATAATCACATGATAACATCGTTCATCGATAACATGATTTATAGAACCTGAGGATGATACACTTTACTGATGAAAAATTGCGTAATCTTCTCATTTGCAACCCTGGTTTATTGGAAATATGAACATGTGGTAACATTTCTGCACAATGATATGACAGTGCCTTGTTCATTACATTTCACAACACTATCAAAGTGAAATGTTCAGTGAGTTGCGCTAAAAACTCATTCAGTTTTAAATGAAAGAGATTAATGTGAATCTGGCAATGCTTTAAATGTCTGTTGAGTGGGTAATGCATTTGAAAATTACGTACCACCTACACGAAACCAGACCCTAAACCTAACCGATAATGTTAACAAAAAACAAATGTTAGATAAAAATGCATTTGCTGAAGCAACCATGCCATTTTACCAGTACCAGGTGAGCTACCAAACACCTGGTACAACAGCAGAAAAGCCAAAGATATGGAGCTGGTTATGTGATGCAAACAAATCATCCACTATGATAAAAGGTGTTTTTGTGTGTAATATAAGTCTTCATTAATCAATAATCTACCCCTGTGAACAGGCAAAAAAGTTGTTGGTTACGATATCCTCAGTTGATGTTTGATCCTTTTTTAAATTTGAACCCAGGATCCTTGAGTTACCTAGCCTGGCTCCGCCCTCCTACGCACTTCCGCTCAATTTCATTTTCCTTCAGTACTACGTCTGGGATTGTGCTGTAGACTTTGGTTTTCTCCGATCAATTTTTTGTAGGGCCAATCAGCGAACAGAGGGAGTGGCTGAGAACGATGACGTCGTGCGTTATTTTGAGTTGTAGTTCAGTAATGGCAGCGGAGAAAGATGCGAGCGAAGCCATTCGGTCCGTTGTAGCAACGCTGCCGAATATTAAGAAGTTAAAGCCGGAGCAAGAACAATCTTTGCTTAGGTTTATTTTGGCCATGATGTTGTGGCCCTCCTCCCCACGGGGTTCGACATACATCACGAGCAAACGTTAGCGATTGGTGGCAGATCCAGAGTGACTCTGGGCAGATCCAATAGTTTTAGACTTCAATAGAGTACCAGCCTACAAGGAAGTTAACGATTGTCAATGGAGCGGTGCCAGACTCTCTGTACAAATGAAATGTACAAGAGTCTGGTAGAACCAGGCTACGAGTTACCAGCCCAAGGTTATGAATCACTGTGCTAATAACACTACATTATGCTAATTAGTACAAGATCACACATTAAATATGTGTAAAATGGTAAAGGGTTCTTGCATCATCTAGTTTTTGAGTGATTTGGATTGAAACATTCAATATCATACCTATTTTTTCTTAAAGCTTAACATTACCTTCAAACATCTTCAAACATGGTTTTGTTGAGAAATGGGTTTTGACTATCTAATGTCTTGATCAGTATCTTGTGGACACTTGCTGTTTCAGTTTTTAAAGAGCTTGTATGTTGATTTAGTAAATCTCCTGTTTAACCTCCAGTAACCTTGTTTTATCTCCTGAGATATTTTTATGATATGCTAAAATCACACCCGTGTGCAAGCAGTTCTTTTTACATTCGGAAAATATGAATTACTGTGATTATGGATGGCCCAATACAGCTCCCGTTGAAATCTTTCCTGCGAATATTTAGGCCTCTAAAAAAGTGAACCTGCAGAGCTTGATTATCTGGTTCTGTTGTTTCATATGAATTAACTGAAATCTGAAAGAACATGCCTTAATAAAGTCGATGCAGGATTAGTGTATTTATTAAATTAACCACTATGCAAAAGGTTACATTTGCATGCTTTAAAATAATATTTTTGGTAGTTGCAGCCTACACTGTTAGACATTTATGTAATTTGTAGTTATTTACTATAAAGCACCCAGTACAATACTGTAAATTCTGTTTACAGTAAATAACTGATTTTTACGTTATGGGAATTTTCTGTGACATCAAACACCACATACTGTACATATTTTTACTGTACTTTTTTTTATATTTGGATTGACAGGAATTATAGCCTTGCACTGTGTCGACAATGCCGTAACAGCTTGAGGCTGTCTACATTGGACATGTCAAAGCGACCATTGCAAAATGCAGATCCATTTGTCCTTCGTGTCAGAAATAGTGTGAGCACTTGGAGTACTGTCTGTCAGAAATATAACAGGGCATCAGTTAACTCATGTCATGCCGAGCCGCATCCAGTGTACACAATATCACTTATTATAATGGGTTCTATTGTCTTTTGTTGCGTTGCGCCACTCGCGTCCGGGGTAGACATGGAACGATAGCACGATAACAAATCAGGTTTTGCTCAGGAGTGGAAGAGTTCCGGAGAACACCTGAGCTGTGTATCAATGCACCTTATGAAGACTGTTATCCCTAAAAGAATAAGACCAGCAAGCAAGGTAAAAATCTGTGTGTTGTAGGGTTGGTGCACCCCAGTTTAACCTACATTAACATTTACTTGTCAACATGGCGGTAACATAAATGTTGCCATGATAAACTGCACTAATTTTTCATTTTACAAACAACTTTGTTAGCTTATTGAATTGCCTAATTAAAATTATTTTAACGAGTAACGCTTAGCTTACATTAACATTAAGTTAACTAATGTGAAATTCTGTTCAGATTGTAGTTAACATTGACCAGTAGTCAGTTAAGAAAATAAACATCATCGTAAGTTATCTAGGTTAAACAAAAGTTGTATTGCTAGCCAACTTTCTAGTTTTAGCAGTAGTTTAGTTTTTTGTGGAATTTAAGATTTACTGAAGAGACTGAGGCCACATTCACACGAAGCCAGAGCTTTCCCTATCCGATCTTTTTTTTTCCTCGTTCTAAATTTTTTTCTGTAAACACGGCGTCGTCTCAAGAAATATATGCGTACACACGAAACCACTGAAACTTATTGAAAAAGATGTGGTGTACATGCCAGACCAGTATGTGGCAGTAACGTGCGGTAAAATCTTGTCATGGGTAGGCTGTGACATCTCAATGTGGCATATATGTTCATATATTCATTCAGTTAATGTAGCAACCCAAGTTCATATCAGTATCATCTAGGGGTGGAACGGTACACAGAAGTCACGGTTCGGTTCATACCTCGGTTCAAACATCACGGTTCGGTACGATTTCGGTACAATGGAGGGAAAAGCAAAACAAAAATGCAGAAGGCATTGTATTTTTTAAATAAGTTTTATTAATAAAGGCATTGCACTGACAATTGTTTTATATAATTAGTTTATTAATTAAATTAATAAAAAGACAAAAAGACCTTGCGATATGTTTGGTAATTGTACCTGAATTAATTTAAAATTATTTTGCTATATTTCAGATCAATATATTTGTTTTCCTTAATTTTAATTAACATTATTAATTGACAATGTAACATTATTCTCATCTGAATTATAAATAATTGATTTCTGTATAAAATAATACTACCATTACACATTCGATTTTCTTTTTTTAATCAATGTAGAATGTGTAAGATTAGTGCTCCGAGGACAAGAAATGAAAACCAATGCAATATGACGAATGTCCAAAAGATGGGACCAACAGACTGTTTTGAAATGGAGTTGGATAAATATGTTTTGCTTTTAAAACTGTGTGTGTGTGTGTGTGTGTGTGTGTGTGTGTGTGTGTGTGTGATTTTGGTTGGGTGACAGTTGTAGGTTACAGTTTGACAAGAGTTTACAGTGTGACAAAAGCACAATGTTGTGTTTTGTTGCGAGTGTACAAATATAAGCAAACACTTTGCAGGTTTAATGATCTGTATGAACAAAATGACGGAGTATGTTTTTTATGTTTCCACTGTTCGATCGCGCGCCTCTCTCACACACACACACACACACACACACACACACACACACACACACACACACACACACAGGTCGATCGCGCCCGCGCGCCTCTCTCTCTCGCTCTCTCAAACACACACACACACACACACACAGGTCGATGGCGCCCGCGCGCCTCGCTCTCTCACACACACACACAGGTCGATGGCGCCCGCGCGCCTCGCTCTCTCTCTGTGACAAAAGTGTGACAAAAGCACAATGTTGTGTTTTGTTGCGAGTGTACAAATATAAGTAAACACTTTGCAGGTTTAATGATCTGTATGAACAAAATGACGGAGTATGTTTTTTATGTTTCCACTGTTCGATCGCGCGCCTCTCTCACACACACACACACACACACACACACACACACACACACACACACACACACACACACACACACACACACAGGTCGATCGCGCCCGCGCGCCTCGCTCTCTCACACACACACACAGGTCGATGGCGCCCGCGCGCCTCGCTCTCTCTCTCACACACACTCCAGCATTGCAATCTTGACATCGCAGCCTGTCCATTATGCGGTCACGGTCACACCAAACGCGAATAGAGCGTCAAATTCGCGTCTAGTTCGACGCTAGTCCAAAGCGAATAGGACGCGCGTATAAAGCCAACGTTTGAAGTG